TCCATCTGTGTCATTTTATTTTCACTCCTCTATAAGAATAGAAAAACACATAAACCTAAATGTAGTGCCCTAAGCTGAACTAGTCATTTGAATGTAAAATTCTGGCAGTATTTGTAGGAAACCCAATGGATTCCATGCTAGAGCCAGGAAATTTATTTGAAAAAAAAAAAAAAAAATTTGAGGGATTCCCAAATAGCGGTCACATGGAATGAATAAGAGAAAAATGAAGGTACAGACTGATCTTATTAGCAGTCTTAACTGGCAATAGGATTGCCAGAACAAATTTCCTGAGGCACAGCTCATGTGGAGTCCCTGCCCAGTAACTCCTGCAGACTCCCAGTGACCACAGGAAAAGGCCAATCCGCTGGTTGGCATCCAGGGCTTTCCATTATTAGCCCTTTTCCAGCCTAACTCTCACTCTGTCTCCTCTTTGTTAAGCATCCTGTGCTTCTGCCCCGGGGTCCTAAATACCATGTCCCAGCCACAGTTGGAATGTTCAAGGCCTTTGCTTTTGCTATTGTCTTTGACCAGATGCCTTAATCCTCATCTCTGCTGCACAAAACCCTGCTAACATTTACTTCCTCCATGGAACTTTCCAGAACCCCCACCATACACCTCATTCTTTCTTTTTTTTATCTTTTTGAGACGGGGTCTCACTATGCAGTTCAGGCTGACCTTGAGCTCACTTTATAGTCCAGGCTGGTCTTGAACTCCCAAGGATCCTCCTGCCTCAGCCTCCTGAGTGCTGGGGTTACAGGCGTGCGTCACCATGCCCAGCCACACCTCATTCATATTGGGATGATTTCTCCATTCTTCATGTTCCTGCATCAGTTTCTTTGCCTTCCCTTGTTTCATTACATAAAGATTAGTTATATATCCCCTTACCAAAGATATAAGTGCATTCAAGGCAAGGGCTATGACTGAAGTACTTTGGTAGGTTAAACTATACCTAGAGTAGTATTTCAAACTGTCTGATTTAACTGAAATCTTAAAACTTGGTAAAGATACACGTTGTTGGACAACCTTCAAATGTTTATATTCCGTGCTCAAAGAGAGCATCGGGTATGGAGATTTCTTAAGCTTGGCGCTGTCTTGGCAGCACCGGGCATCTGAACCTATTCAGCTTCTTTCAGATGCTTCCAACCCTCCCGCTGCTTGGCATCAGCTAAGCATGCTAACCAGGTGAATGGCTGATTATTTTCATTTTCAGACAATCGTAAGATTTTAGAGCTGAAAAGGACTTTAAGGAGCTAACCGTCTCATATTACAGAGAAGAGCGTTTTGAAACAGAAATGTTAACTGATTTTTCCAAGGCAGCAGAGTTGATTAGAGACCCCAGGGCATGGACCCATAGGCGGTCCTGTCTGCTGAGCTTTCTCAGAGCTGACTTCAGATTCCACTTAAGGTCATCACCAATCAACTTCCGCTTTCTGGTCCAGGCTGGGATTGGCTCAAGTTCCACAAGTAAACACCATGCCCTAACAACAATGCCATTAACTAATGCTTTGCTAGAGGCTGATACCATTGAGTTAAAATTAAAAACCAAAGTAGACCAGGAAGGGAGCTCAGGGACCTGGGAGCAAAGCTAACAATTCATTAGCCATTGCCTTGCAGAGGCCACGGCAGCTGCTGAATTCACTGAAGTTCAGACCCTTAAAAAGAGTGGAAAAAAGAAAGTGCATAGTTTCCAGTGTCTGGGCACCGCGGAGCTGAGCCAGCTGGGCGCAGCACTACGGCAAAAAGATCTCTTTAGTTTCAGAAATCCGAGCCCTTGTCTTGCACAGAAGAGGGGCATGTGGCTGCAACTGTGCCTGATGTCCCGTACCCTTTCTGGGCTTACCTCTGCCCAGGGTTACGCCAGACACTGCTCCTGTGTGGGGTCCGGGAGGAACTAAAGAAAGATTCAGCCCTCCAAGTTGACACAGGAAGCAAGCTGTCTTAGGAAAGCTGGTGTGTGTGTGTGTGTGTGTGTGTGTGTGTGTGTGTGTGTGTGTGTGAGTAAAGTCATGTGTTTTCAAGAAGACCTCTTGGTTTCTACATAAACGTGTGCTTTCTCTTGCCCAGAGTGAGCCTGTGAAGGGAATAAAGCACAATTCAGGTTTCCAAGTTGGAAGCCTGATTAATCTCTCTGCCAGTTACATATGGAAATAAATTAGTAAATGGTCCATCTGGGACTAAACTACTGCAGAGACGATAAATTATTGCCATCGTATGTGTCGGTGTTGTGAAGACTGAGTTGTGCTCACCAGGAGCTGCCGAAAGATAACTGGTTGCTCTATTGTGGTCAGAGGAATAGCATTTAAAGCAAAAAAAAAAAAAAAATTACAAGTAAAAAAATTTACCCTGAAATGTTTCTGGGGAGAATGGATGGGTTGATGCCAAGTTTGCTCCTCAGAACTGCTGTATCTGCACATATTTAAAAGGAGAATCTCAAGGGCACAGGAACATTTGAGTTTTATATTTTCAAAGGCCAATACAGTAACGAGTGTTAATTAGTACCCAGTGTCCTCATGAAGAGGCTAATTCTGTACATCTGTGGAGGCTTGCACTTTATAATGTTCCTAGCACCTTCTCATCTACTTTTTATTTAAATTTCAAGGAGGGTGGGGCAGGTCGAGGCCTGCTTTCTCTGACAGATGGAAAACTGAGGTTCAGGGGCTGGGGATTTAGCTCAGCGGCAAAGCGCCTGCCTGGCAAGCGCAAGGTCGTGAGTTCGGTTCCCGGTACCGGAGAAAAACCAAAACCAAAAAAAAAAAAAAGAAAACTGAGGTTCAGGAGCTCAGTGAGTGGCCTGTATTGCCTCGGATGGTTAAGCCGCGGAGCCGGGAGGAGAAGCAGATACTGCCAGTTGTGAATCTAGCTTCCTTTCAGTCAGAGCCTTGGTGTGACGTCAAACACATTTTCAGTGACCCATCATTCGTCTACCAACATTGGGAAGTAAAGCATCCTATTGATGTCAGTTTTCTGGAAGCAAAAACCAAACTTCTTGATTATGAAAAGTATTTTTTCTCCAGCTGGAGATGCTGGGTATTAGTTTAACTTTTTGATGGGGACTAAGGCACATCACTGTCAGTTCATTTTATAAAGTTAAAACAAGGGTGGCCTCAGGGGCTTTTAGGTATGGTAAGGTTTTTTCTTTTTGGTCCCTATATGAAATGGCTCGAAGCTACTGTGACATCCAGATTCTTGTACCCACTTTAAAATTTTCTTTTGTGCTCTTCCTCCTGGGTGGACCTTTAGCCATGAATCCTTAAGCAGCTGAGGATCTCTGCTTTGGAAAACGCAGTGCAAAAAGTATTTAAAAAGTAACCTGGCGACAGAATCTTTAAGTTGCCCTGTTTATGAGACATCGGTTTCTGAACACAAGCCCAGGTGTAAGCTGGGGTGGGGGGTGCTTACACGAGGATGAGAAGCCACAGTCCCTGGGCTTTTACCTGTCTACATTCGGAAGTCACTTGGTGTCACCCAGCTCGCCTTCCTGTCTGTCATGTATCAGCAGACCTGGTTGCTTCGTGTCCTGCATAACCCTCATGCTTTGGCCGCTGCCTGCTCCTGCCTATCACAGGCCTGTTGCAATCTCAAGATCCATTATTATTGACATTGTCTTCATGAGATCATCTCCTACTGTCACCTTCCACCCAATCAGAAACGAAAGTGTCTTCTGGGACCCTCTACCTGGGAGAAGTAACACCGGCTATGTATTGAGTTGCTGGGTGCGAGTCCTGTCTTCCCTAGTGGACGATTCACTTCTTAGGGCAGGGACTCCATCACCTTCCCTTTGTAGCTCGTCCTCCCTCCCAGTCCCTAGCTCAGGGCTTTGTCTTTTTTTTTTTTTTTTTTTTTTTTTTTT